GCATCCAGTTATCTTTTGAAGATCTCCAGGGAAGGAATGCTTATATGAAACCTGGTATTCAATATAAAATGTGTTTTGGTATAAAATATATTTCAGTAATCTGACCTAATCAACAAACCATTGGTTTCTTTATAGTCAGTGGTGGTGCTAGACCTTGAAATTAAGGGTGCTTACACAAGTTACATGTGTAACTTTCAGCGGATCCCTGAAAGTGCTCTACAGCCATAATGTAAGACATGTGCACAGCTGCAGAGCACTTTTTAAATGGCTGATCAATGTGGAAGTACAGAGATGGGACCCAAGCAGAGGGTTAGGTACATGGTGGTCAACACAATCTGAGGACTGAAAAGGAGGAGCCCAGGAGAAAGTCCTGTGAGGCCTTCATCATGTAAGGAGTGACCTAGAAACCACTACTCAAAGACTAAGCAGAAGAGAATGTTATGTGACGAATGCCCATCTGCAATGATAAGGAGGGGACAGTCTTAGATAAAGGGGGCTTGAAAACAAAAAGAAAAAACAGGGTACTGGGTTAAAGGGCTCATTAAAATACTAAAAATCATGCCCCTAGGTGGGGAAGAAGTATGCTAATGAAACACATATGTATGTAAATGAGATACATGGCTAAAACACAGGTATAGAGACATGCTCAGTAAAGAACTCCTTGCGTCACTCACTTATAACCAATCAGCAAACAAGGATGCTTATGAAGGTTAAAAAAACTCCTGTATAAAAGATGCTTAGAAATAGTAATCTGGTGTGCTTGTTACATGAAATTATTCCGCTCGCACCTTTTATTGCTAGCAATAAACCTTCTTTGTACTTTCACCCCTGGTATCTTTATTGGCCTTTGCATACCGGGCATGATCCCAGACTTGAGCTGGAGCTCAACAATCATAGTCTGGAATGGGAATGAAAGAAACTCATTGAAGGAATAACTAAGAGAGGAAGGGGGAGGACCACAAGAGGGCATAGTCACAGAGGCAGAGCGAAGGCAAGATCTTAAGATGGGAGTATGGAGAACTACCCCTGAGCTCAGGTCAAGAAGACCATGAGAGACTCTGATTAGAGCAAGCTTAATGGGCTGCAGAGACACCTATCAAATGAAGAGGATTTAGGCTATCAGGAGGAAAGGAACCTGAGACAGTGGTTATGAACAGCACATTTGACCTGACAAGAGAACAGATGGTACTCACTGAGGGACATGGAGTTTTTTTCAAGACAAAAGGGCTTGAACCATGCTTGCTTTAGGAGGACAGAGTTGTGGGGACAGGAGGCAGGTCTTATAGGAAGAGAGAAGATAAGAAGTTGATCTCAGTGACTGGGACTGGGGAGAAGGTGAGGAGATACCACAAGGAAAAGTACCATGAAGAGGGATAGAGATATGGGATTCCACTTGATTCTTGTCCATTTTCTCTCTGAAATTAGTAGGCAACTAGATGAAGATAAGGAGAGATGAAGGAGGGAGTAAGAGATAGCTATCTCTCTGCTACATGTGTGTTCAGCGTGAGTGAAGGCGACATGCTGGTGTCGCAGAGCACTTAGGTGCCCTGCTCCTTTAAAGAGGGGAAACTGCTATGGAAAGAGCCCTAGCAGTGAGTGAGGAGCCCCAGCTGCTGGTTCCCCGGCCTACCAGAGTGAGCTAGTGGCCCACCCCTGCCAGTGGTCAGCTGACCGGAAGGGGCAGGGCCTGGCTCACATATAAACCCCAGGGCTGAGGCCAGGATGTTCCCTGCCGGCAGCCAAAGGGGAAGGAGCTCCACCTGAGCAAACAAAGGGGAGAGGCCTGACTGCACGAGCAGCTCTTGATATTGTTGTGAGATGGAGTATTCTCTGGTAGGGTTTGAATGACGTTATAGCCGGGCAGCTTGAGTTTATGTTACAGCCCAGGGGCTTGCGTTTGATTTATTATTGTATAACACCGGTGGCTTGGGTGAAGCTATTAGGGGATGGAGGAGGCCTCATAGGGGACCCATGGCAGTGTGGGGACCCCGGCACCAGAGGGGGTGCAGCATTTGGCGGTGCACCGACCCTGGTGCCAGAGAGGGCACAGAATTTTGCAGGGCTGCGAAGAGCCCAGGCACCACAGAGGGCACAGTGCGAGACAGGGCCGCGGAGAGCCCGGGTGCCAGAGAGGGCGCAGTGCGAGACAGGGCTGTGGAGAGCCTGGGGAGGACCAAGGGGCCCACATTAGAGCAAGGCCCAGACCGAACAAGGTCAGTTCCATCTGCGAGGCTTGGGGCGTGGTAAAGCGGTGGTTGGAGCCACGCACAGCCCATAAGGCTAGGGTGCCCCGAAACACCCATTGCAGAACCGGACCCACAAGGGGTCCAGGAGCCCGCGGGGTCAAAGTACAGCAAAACCGTGTCCAAGAAGATGTAAAGGCATCCTCCCTAATATATTTACCAACAAAGATGTGGCGGGCGAGAATTGAGGGTGCCCTTTGGGCCAACTTGGCACAGGAAGGGGGCCTTGGGGAGATCATGGCCATCCTGCAGGACCCCGTGCCGTGACAGCTGGTAACTAGGGAGATGGTAGAACCAAAGAGGGAGTGGGGATCTGTAGTGGAGAAAAGTCCTTGGGGTGATGGAGCTTCTGCTAAGGTGATTCCTCTGCACAGTGGCTAAAATAGTATCATAGAGAAGTAGGGCTTGAAGATACCTCAGGAAGTAATCTATTCTAAACCCCTGCCTGAGGCAGGATCATTCCTATCTAAATCATTCAAGGCAAGTGCTTTATCTAATCTACTTTTAAAATTTTGGTTACTGATCTTCTCACAAAACTACAGGATATGATGCCATAAAACATAAAAAATCTCCTAGCTTGCCACAGTAACATTGCCTTGTCTCCCTAATTTAACTGCCCTGCCACTGCAAGGACAGGAAGTAATTGTTAAAAGATGCTCAAAAAACTCAAGGAAGAGGGCCATGACTCTGGGTGCAGAGGAAGGCAAACCCCACACAGTCCATGCCAATCTAGCTATGAGGTAAGATTCCTTCCTCAGCCCAAATGTAGCAATCAGTCTGACCCTGAGAAGAGAAGAAAGACCATCTATCCAGAAAATTCTGGGGTTTTTAAGTCTCAAGAGGAGCATCAGCACACCCTCATCAAAATCCTCAGCTTTGGATGCAGCTAACATCCAATGGTTCTGAGGAAGGCAAAAAAAAACCCTCAAAAACAAAACCCAGAAAGCTAAATAAACCCTGACACCTGCAACAATAGGAGAGAGAATAAAATTCTTTCCCAGTCTGTGGCAACCAGAAAAGCCCAGAAACATGGGAAAAACCAAACACCCTCCATTCTGCCCTGTAGACCGGAAACAGCAAGCAGAACTGCACACATTACACTCTCTTACTGAACAGTGAGAACTCCTCTTTCTGTTTCTCCACCATAAATTGCTCAGCTACTTACTTTTCATTCATAACTAAGAGGGTTGTAGAGCTGCTGAGCATGGTCTTCCCCAGTATCCATCTACTCTAGAATGGAGAGCTTCTTGTGATCTCCCAGAAATCATATGGGAAAATCATGGGATCTCCTTTACGGATGTTTTTCAATGATATACCATGAATTGGATAAGCACAGCAAGGCCCTACACCAATGATTCTCAACTGTGGTGCTGCTGCACCCTGAGGTGCCACAAGAAGAGTCATGGGCATGAAATCATGGTGGGTCTCCTGGGCTCCTGACTCTTCTTTTTCACTGCACACTCCAGGCATAGATACTCCTAGATTATCCCTAACCACTGCTTACCCAGTATATTCTTGAAAAACTTAAATAAAGGAGATCCCATGACTTTCCTAGGCAGTCTATTCCATTGTCCCAACGTTCAATCAGTGAAGTTTTCCTGTTATCCAATCTAAACCTACTCTGCTGCAACTTCAAGCCATTGCTACACATCCTACTCTCTGCAGCAAGGGAGAAAACTTGTTCTCCCTCTTGTTTATGCCAACCCCTCAGATATGTGAAACCTGATATCATTCCCTCCTTAACTGCTTTTTCTGCAAGCTGAACATGCTTCTTTCTTTCAGCTTGTCCTCATATGTCTTGCCTTCTAAGCCCTCATCATTTTTGTCACCTGCCTTTGGACACTTTCAAACCAGGGGAAGTTGGGCAGAGAACAAAGGGTAGCCATACAGGTAGGGAAAAGAAAAACAAGTCAGATGGTGTGATTTTCAGAGGAGGAGGAGGAAGAAAGAAATTATAGGAGCAGGATGAATAGGCCTATATATATATGCCCTTGTCTCTCTAAGGAGGTCTCCAGGCTAGGGGAGAGACAGAACAAGGATGTCACCAGAGACAGTGGGAACAGAGGAAGTGCTGGGTCTTATTCAGGCCTTGATGAAAGCCATGAGTCAGACAGAATAGAGATAAAGAGGTCACATATGGATGATAACATTTTATGAGATTCATGAGTATTCCAGAGGGAGCAGGTGAAGGGGAGATGAAAGCAAGAGGAAGGGCAGCTGCAAGGGTTAAGGGAAAAACTCTTACATCTCAAAAAACATTGAACAACTGTCTGTTCAGTGAGCATCATCCATCTTAGATACTGAAAGAGGGAATGTCCTATGACAAAAACAGCAGAGGTGGGTAAGCTGTCCCCACATCAGGTCTCTAATAGTTGAAGACTGGCTTCAAGCCAGACTAGGCAATTGTTACCATGAATTGGCTAAGCACAGCAAGGCCCTACACCAATGATTCTCAACTGTGGTGCTGCTGCACCCTGAGGTGCCACAAGAAGAGTCATGGGCATTGTTGCTGGTGAATGAGACCCTACAGGAGCAGCCTCAGTGGGGGATGGGGAGAGGGCAGGCAGTGGAAAGAGCAGGGCATGGCAGGGATAGGTTCTGTCCTGCTGCCATCACCTGGCACCACTAGTTCCGCGTCACAGTGCCCCCTCCAAGCCACAGCACCTGCTTGTTACACTCAGAAAGATTTTGGCCCTGATTGCCAACATTTAGAGCACTACAAAAAGCAGCAGTGGAGGTCATACAGGGTGAGCATACCTTCTCTCATGCAGATCTGCTTTCCCATCAGCTGTGGACACACGCTCTGACTCAGGGCTGTTCACACGACAGTATCTCAAAGAGCGTACTTGAGCAGTTGGGGATTCTGGAGGAACTCGGATTGGGGAGCTGGGGCAAACGCCACTTCTCTGTTCCTCATCTACCATGCAGTGAGTCTGTATGGGAGAAAACCCAGAGAAAATCAAGTATCTTATTACAGATACTGGTCACCCATCTGAGACTGTCATTCTCCACTTTATTCTTTCCTATGTCATACCTTCAGGATATTGTCATAGATATAATCTCATGACCTCCTTGACTGTACTTGGAGGAGAGAAAGAGCTTCTTGGCTCTGAAACATTATTCTGGATTAAGGAGTGATGTGACTTAGGCCCCTGGCACATGCTCATTTAATGGCGTGATAGGATTTGATCCTCAATCCCACCAATCATACTTCCTGCCATGCCTCATGGCAAAAGGTGCAACTGGAATCAAGAATCAGATCCAAATCATGCCATTAGTACTTGCCAGTGCAGGGGGAGCCCTGGATCATAATCCCAGGCTCCTCCTGCACAGGCAAGTAGAAAGAGGAGTGCCCACAGGTCCAGCCTGGCCAATACTCAGATGTTTATCAGCTGGCCCCAGGAACCTAGCAGGGACTCAAACCAGCTCCACTGTGCACTGGGGCCATACTGACAATCAGCCAGACTGACAATCAGCCTGGTGATCTGGTATGAGACCAGGGCTGCCCTGGCTGGGACAACAATAAACTGGTTGTCAAAACCCCACACTCCACAGATCTGGCTGGGACACTTGGTGGATGGAATCAGAGGCTTCCAGCTTAGGAAGTGGGGGAGCCACTGGTGACTTTAAACCCACCTGTGAGTTTATCACACTGGCGTCTTTAAACCCACCTGGGAGCCTTTTATCCCCTACGCTAGGCAGAATGGCTAGAGCTGCTGGCCAGGAGGTTTAAAGTCCCCAAAAAGAAAGCCTGGGAAAACCTGGGGAATCTACCTCAGTGGTTTTGTAAAGGCCCAGGGTACAGTGAGCCCCAGGTCAGGGAGACACTCCATTTTGGCACCCTGCTCTTCTACCTCTACTAATCGGACAGTGGTGCCACATCTCGGACTCAATGTTGCCCCCAGCCTGATCTCACTAATAGACAGCAAATGGTCTGGCCTTGGGGCTGCCCCATGCTGGATCTCCACACTGAACTGAGTCTGGGGATTTGTCATGGGTCAGCCCCAACATGTCACACATTCAATTTAAGGCATAATACAGAAGAGGCACAAAAATGTTACACATTATATACGGAATATGTTTGTGGCTCGATTGTTATAGTCACACACCATAAATTAGCTTTAATGTGTAATCATCTTATTACTTATGGTACAAATAACACCTTAATCATGTCTTAAATATAACATGTGCCAGGGCCCTCAGCTATTTCTATATACCTCCTAGCTTCTCAATCCCACAGGTGAAAACTTATTCTAAGTTTAGGATCCAAACATGGACCTACTCTGGAATAGTAGTTCCAAAATAGCTGTTGTGGAGATAAACTCTACTTGCTTATACAAGGGTTACTGAATGAGAAAATCATCTGATAATAAAAACTGTTGGTAGCTATAGTTTGAACATATTTTTGCATACCCTTCTGATGTAAGTGATACATCCTAAGCAGTAACTGACATGAAAGCTAAGGATCTGGAGCAGGGTTCTGGGACAGCACCCCACTGAGAGACCAAAAAACTCTTTCCCATTCAAAGTAACTAAGGGTGGCAGGTGTTATATACCTTCCTAGCTCACTAGGCAGGCATCTAGGTGCAGGACACACCCATCCATGTGCTCTATATCTGATAGACTGGGTATTTAGATTTAGTCTTCCACTTTGACAATACCCTGGGTGCGTCTACACGGGCACTTTAATGCACAGTAGACTATTTTACTGTGCATTAAAGCATCAAGTAAAACACTGTGATGTTGCACTAATAAGCAGTAAAATAGTCTACTGTGCATTGTGTCACTAAAAAAAGCATGCAAATGCATTATTGCACATTAGCACAGCCTAATGCGCATTCATTTAGTACCTTACATTGGAGGTACTAAATTTAGGGGACATTAGAAAAGGCTCATTAATGCACGGGTAGGCATGCCCCCCTGTATATTTCTCAAATCCGGATAAACATTCAGTTTCACTGCTGATCAGTTGAGCCTTCTATTGATGTTCTCATCCAGCAGAGCTAGAGTCTTCTTAAAGGGCTCTCCATCAGAATTAGGCTGATTTATTTAGCATCAGGCATAAGGCTGTGAAGCTTCTGCAAGGAACTGAGCATGCTTGTGCATATTTAAAAACACTCTGGTAGCTTGCAAGTCCCAGTCCATTCTTCTTCAACTTAATCTACTGTAGCTTCATGTATTTGGCCGTGAACTTGATTTGAAAAAACCTGCAGCACCTGAGGGAGCAAAACTCAGTGGGGTAGGAATAATCACTTTGTCACACAGACTTTCTTTCCACCAGTACTGCCTACATCACATGCCTGTGAGAGGGGGCTTCTTTGGCAGGAGCTAAGAATCAGTGTGGTCCATCAAGTAGAATAGGGTTGTCCAGTTTCTAATCCACTGGGTGACAACTGAGATATGACATTCTGGGCATGGCTACATGTCACTCTATGGCAACATAACAACACACTACATCACTGTAAGGAGTGCTACGGTGATGTAGCAATCATGCAGGTCTACATGTGATCACTAGCTACGTCACCATAGTGGCATGCTCCCCACTTAATAGCATGTTACCACAGTGACGTAGCAGGGAAATTTAAGCATGTGCCACCTGTATAGTGGAAGATGCACTTCCAAAAGGAAGTACTAAAGCACAGCGCAGTAACAACTTTGCCGTACAGCAATGTGTAGATATGTCCGTTGAAAGCCTGAGCTTTATGGACAGAGAGAGAGGATCATATGACAGAGATGGTGTAGAACAAGAAGTGGAAAGATCTGGAGCAGACTAGATTGGGATACAAAAACAACAGCAGTGGCTCACCTCCTGATTGTGAGGAATAATTTATATATAAATTCACAGAAGGTCCAGAAGGAAACCATGGAGTTCACTGCCCTGTTGCAACAGACTCTCAGGTGTCTCTTTTGTCTGAGAAAAAAACCCACATTATACCTGGTGGGTATCAGGGACAGAAAAGCAGACATGGATTTTAGAAGTAGGAGATATCGATTTTGTGTTACCTGGCTTCCATAATAGTCTATTTTGTATATGTTGGGGGAAAAGCCCCTCTCAAGTGGATGATCATATTTTCAATATATCCCATTTTATAAAGGTAACACCAAAGTCCAAATAACTTGCATTCAATAGTTTTAAAATAATTAGATAAGATACTCCCTGGTCCAATTAATAGTACATACACATTGGATTATGCTCCAAGTAATTAAAAGAACTCAAAATTAAATGTTTATATGGAAACATCATCATCAGCAGCAAATCATCACCATCATCCAGTCAGCATGTTTCCAATGGAGTCAGACTTTAAACAACCAAGACTGGTGTTCCAGTTATAGGATAGGAGAATGTATTCTGAAAGGTAGTGATCATGGAAACTAATTGAACAGGAGCTCGCGATACATCTTACTAAACATCCTTAGCCACACTAGGCGCATCTACACATGCCCCACATGGCACAATTGTACTGCACCATCATTTAGTACTGCTTTAGGGAGTACTAAATGATGGAGCACAATTATTTTTAGTAGTGCAAAATATCACCATAGCAATGCAACATAGTGGGGGGCTCACTGCTACAATGAGTGTCAGCGTCACGGTTTGTGCCCACCAATACTACATCACTGTAGCAACGAGCTATGTCTCCATAGTCTGTCGCTACAGTGAAGTAGCATCACATGTAGACGCACCCACTGTGGCTAAAAGGGCTAATGTGATCCTTAGATGTATAAACAGAAGAACATTAGCCAGGGGGTGAAGTACTGTTACATTTGCATATATAATCATAAAAAGTACAGCTGGAAGGGATCTCCAGAGGTCATTTAGTCCAAATCTCTACTCAAGACAGCACCATCCCTGTCTAACCCATCCCAGACAGAAGTTGTATAACCTCCACTTAAAAGCCTCCAATGATAGAGAATCCATGACCACTCTGTTGCAGTATACATAAACTGAGCTTGCTGTAATTTAAGCGCATTACTTCTTGTCCTGTTTCCCTTGAAAACGGAACAATTGATCACCATCTTCTTCATAACAACCCCTTTTGAAGGTGGTTTTCAAATCCTTCCTAATTCTTCTTTAGACTGAGTTATTGTGCAGTAGCACCAATGAATGTCTTTTTTTCATGATGCTACTGTGCAGTAGCCTAATACTATCGTGCAGTAGTGTTGCATCACTGTTTTTGCCACAGGCCACTACTGCACAGTAGTATCAGGCTACTGCACAGTCAACGTCTTGTGTAGATGTGGCCAAGGTGATGAGGATATGGTTTTGTCAAGACCAACCTAATTTTCTTCTCTGATAAGGTGATGGGCTTTATGGATGTGAGGAAGAATAGATATGATATACCTTGACTTTAGAAAGGTTTACTCAGATTACTGCACAGTAGTTTAGTACTAAATGACTGCACAGTAATGACTGTGCAGTCAGCATCTTGAGTAGATAAGGCACCCCTTGTTATCTTGTGGGTGCTTACAAATGGATTGACTTATTATACGATCTAGTATCTCTCTGGGAATCAAAATAAACCCCCCTTTAGCCTTTTTTAAAGACTGGCACTATATTTTTCCTTTTCCAGGTCTCTGGGACCTCACTTAACCTCCATGAGTTTTCATCTCACTTGACTTCCGTGAGTTTTCAAAGATGAGTTAATGTTTCAGCAATTATTTTAGCTAATGTCTTGAATACTCTTGAATGAAATTCATCAGACCCTACTGATTTTAAGTTGCTAAGTTATCTAACTGGTTATTTTCTACTGTAGACTTGAGAATATAAACTCCCCTCTTCTTGATGTTACTTGTGCTCATCATCTAACAGCTGACCTTTTGGTGAAGACTAAAAACATTAAACATTTTAGCCTTCTCTACATCATCCGTAATTAGCTTCCCTGTTTAGTAAAGGACTTTATTTGTTTTTTGTAAGTGAGGCATATCTTCCATGCCTACGTATCATGGGTTACCTGTCTAAAAGAGCCCCTCTGTTCAACACGCTGTTGAACTCAGTAGTGTTGCTCATGTTGGAAGCTGAATTCTCTCCCCCTTCCCTCATTCAGGAGTCGCAGAGAAAATCCCTCTGGCCTGTGTCCTGCAGGAGGCCACACTAGATGATCTTACCTAGCCCCCTTCTGCCTCACAACTGGTGAATGTTTTAAGCTTTTATCCCTGAGAAGAGTCCTGCTTGTCGAATAAGAAAAAAGGTTCTTTACTTTGCTGATGCTGATCCTGAGTTTGTTGCGGTTCACATCTGTCTCCTCCCAAACTTCAGCCTCATTGAAGGCGATGTTTGGAGCCTGTCCCAGACCTTCTGCTGGCCGGCCAGGCAGAATGGGGGGAGCATTCTCTTGGTCACTCAGGTGTTCACCCTGTAAGACATCCTCAGTGTTCTCTCGAAGCAAGTCTCCAGGGACTGGAGTAACATTAACAACTCTAAGGGAAAGACAACAAGCAAAAACATCAGCTATGCTCATTTTGAGAACCAAATCCCTTACTCTAAAGCATAGAAATACTGCAGTATCCCAAATCAGACTTTCAGGCAATTTGGAGCAGGAACCTCACCTTGTTCGAGACCAGCACCCAATGCTTCTACAGAAAAAAGATTTAGAGCTCCCTTCCTCCACACCTCCCCCTCTAACCACAGAGAAAGGACAGATGTCCCCCTGGGTTCTTCAAAGCTCTTCAAAGGCCATCACCTCAGGCTGAGAATCTCTACTTCAAAGAAAGAAACTAGATTGCCAAGAAAGGAAAATTATGGGACATCATGCCCTGAGGGGAACATTTTTCCTAGACCAAGTGAATGGGACTTGACAATGTTTATACATTTTATGCAGCATAATGTAACTAAGGATTCTTTTATCCAATTTTGTCAACCCTCTCAAAAGCACTGAGGCAGCTTGCAGACATGGAAAAAATGCACTTTACCTGAAGAATCAGCAAGTTAGTTCAACCCAACTCTGCAGTTTCTTATTCAATCAGCTATTAAATAAAAGTGGCAAAAAAACATACAGATGCTGCAGATCCAGGCTGAACCAATATGCTACCTCTTCTGGGCATGTGCTGAGCTTGGCATGGGAGCATGCCAAGTTTAAAGTAAAGCATGGTTTTATTTTGGTTTTTACGTCTGCAAGCAGCCTGAAGGACATGACAACACTGTAAGTCTTGCTGGAGTATTGATTAATAAAAGCAGTGATCAATACATATACAACTCTTTGACCAAAGCAGGCTTCACCAAAGGCTGACCACCAGGGTGCCTGTGAAAGTCAACTTCGCAGATGGCAGAGGGTTAAGGCGGTGTCACACGTTCAACTTAATACATACTAAGTACAGTTAAAACATAAGCAGCCAAATGTTCCAATGGTTTAGCACATATTAAATGCCCACTTACCATTGCAGAATTGCTCCCTTTCAGGCAAGGATTATCGCCTTAACATATCCTAACTGTAAAACATCAAAACCTTGCAATGATTGGCACTGTTGCAGGTGAATTTGTGACAAGGCTCTTAAAATTGATTGTTAAGGTTGATTGATAAGAGTGGTGCCAGAGAGCCTAGAACACACCTGATAATGACAGAAAGTCTGAAGATTAGGGTACTTTGTGTCACAACCCAAGGGTGTGATTTTGTTTGTGTGCGCTTCGGCACTGCTAAATTATTTCCCG